CCTGTAAAGAGAACTCACAAGACGCTTCCTCTGGGCCTCCAGCGGAGTCCCAAGAACCTTGCCAAGCCCAGGATCACAGTTTAGTGGCTGTGAGGTCTTGCACTAACCCTAAACCCTAAACCCTAAACCCTAAACCTCAAAGCCTTAAAGCCCGACCTAAAGTCTAAGACGACATTTCAGTCACTGATGCTTCGAGGCTGTCGACCTCGGTGTTTAGGGTGTACGGCTTAACCCTGAATCCTCAACCCTAAAATTGAAAAAACAAACCTAAGACCTTCGCCCCTGAACCCTAGACCCCCGAAACCCTAAACCCTAAACCCTAAACCCTAAACCCTAAACCCTAAACCCTAAACCCGGAATGTCGGGAGCATCCTGTAGAGGCTGAAGGTCTCTGGGATTTTAGCTTCGAGTCTCGAGCTTAGGTGTGCTCGCAGAGGCGGCTCTTGGAGGTTTAGGGTTTAGGGTTTAGGGTTTAGGGTTTAGGGTTTGGGGTTTAGGGTTTAGGGTTTGGGGTTTAGGATTTAGGGTTTAGGGTTTCGGGTTTAGGGTTTAGGGTTTAGGGTTTAGGCTTAGGACTTCGGGTTTGATGAGTCTGTATATGAAACCGCTTAGGATAGGAAGATGCAAGGTCACACAAGACAACACGTTGAAAACAACGTGGTGCTGTATTGTATGGGGTTCCTAAGAGAGGGGTTCAAGGGGGGTTTCGGGTTTACGGTTTAGGGTTTGGGGTTCAGGGTTTTGGGGTTAGGGCAAACCCTAAACTCCCTAAAGCCCAAACCCTAAACCCTCAACTCCCTAACCCCAAACCCTAAACTCCGCAAACCTCAAACCCTAAACCCCTGAACTCCCTAACCCCCGAGTTGAAGTCAGCTCTGCGCAAAGGTTGGAGGTTTGTCGTGAGTTCCGTCGAATCTGCCAGGGCTGCACAGGGTAGTTCGTTTAATTAGGGTCCCTTTTCTGGGTCCGACACACAGTACGGCACCCTTATAATAAGAAGAACCTCTAAACCGGAGACCCTAATTTAACGGGCGCACTCGCGAATGCCGCTGTGACACGGTTCGCTGCGTACCTGTGCCAGCTGCAGAAGTCAACACGCGTTAAGTTCTCAATCAGCTTCCGTTCGAAGCAACAGATGTTCCAGTTCATCATATGCTGCAGGGAGCGCGGGCCCACAAGTTTCTTGCACCGCATCTGCATGTCCAAGCGTGATGACCTCCCCGGCTGCTTGCATGTCCTCCATGTCACTGACGCTTTCCCGTTACCAGGCTCGTCAACGAAGCCTCGTCGCGACATCGTACGTGTCGAAGGGTTCCATGCAATAGGGGCAGGTTCTGTCATGATGCCTCTGGATACACTGACTGCAAAACTGAAAATGCCCACAGGGCTGCAGGAAGACATTGGAGGGGGCCTCGCAACAAATGATACATTCATCGTCTTCGTTGTCAGGGGGTGCTTGCACCTTTGTCAGCGTCTGGCCATCATATGTAACGACGTCGCCGCGCTGAACACATGACTCCTTGGTGATGGGACTTGGCCCATGTTCACATACAACCGTGAGCACATAAAGCATGTCCCATCCGTCATCTGAAGTAGATGGGTTCAGCTCTTCACACATCCCGGGGCTCACCTTGCATGACTTCCGGCCAACTCCCCAGAGAGAGCGCCACTCTGAGTGGAAGTCCCACAGGGTTGGGAAATACCCATCAAAGATGCGGATCCATGCGGTGCAAGGGTGCTCTGACGTGTTGTAGATGGTGATCGTGAGCATCTCACTTGTCCATGCCCGGTCATATGTGACCCACCTGCTAATGCCATAGAAAGAAAGACCTGAAACCAGCAATCCGCCTACGACGCCGCCAGCAACAATGCCCGCCACAGCTGCCGCTGGCAGTGAAGCAGTTGCCGTGGTGGTTCCCCACGGTATGAACCCCAGTGCATAGTACGGAACTGTTGTCACGACCTGGGCTGTGCCTGCCGCAATGCCAGCGCCGACGCCTGCACCCACACCACCCAAAGCACTGGCACCCAGCCCTGCCGCGGCAGCTTGTACCTGAAGACTGTGCGGTTGTTGGCACCAGCACTTATTCACAAAGTGCTCGCAGTTGTTGGAAGCCACGCAGTAGTCCCAGGCGCCATTGTTCTCCCCGTCCACGAAGTTCCGAGCCCTTTCCAATATCTCGTGGCCCTCCTGGATCGTCTCCGGCATTTTGACGACCCGAGGTTCAGCAGGAAACGCTTCCCAGAACCTGCTCTTCATGGTCCGACACACCCTCATCTCCCCATCCGAACTGCCGACAGAGCTGACATGTATGTACACCTCACCCACAGAATCCCAGATCGCGTGATGCTCGAAGCCGGCACCCGAACCACTCCCGCTGCTCGCGCTGCTATTCGAGGTCACGACGGCGACGTGCATGCAAGGCATGATGCCCGCCGCCTCCTTCTTCCGCTGATACTCCCGCCGGCGGAAGAACTTCGCCGCCAGGTTGAGAGCCATGGCAGAGGCAGGGATTCCGCAAGCTCTGCTCCCGTGGACGTTGGACTTTTATACTAGTACGACTATTATGATTTTTATTCTGAAAATATTAATATATTACTATATTATTGTTATCATTATTAGTACAATTATCATGTTACTATTATTATTATTTTTACTATTATTATTATTAATATTATTATTTACTAGTATCATTCTTATTTTTATTGTCATTATGAATATTATTATTAATACGATCAATATTTTAAGAGGCAACTCAGTCTCATGCGTCGATAGCGCGCGACATTATGGGTCCTCCTGGAGCCACAAACACGCAGCTCTGCCCAACAGTAACCCCCGCCTAACCCCTAAAACCGAAGCCCCAAACCCCAAATCCCACACCCCAAACCCTAAAGCCTACACTCCAAACCCTAAACCCTGAACCCCTGAACCCTAATCCCTAAACCCAAACACCTAAAACCCGAAACCCCTGAACCCTAATCCCTAAACCTAAACACACAAAACCTACACCCTAAACCATAAACCATAAACCATGAACCCTGAACCCTAAACCCTAAACCCCAACTGGCCGAGGCTGTGGCTACCTTGCCGCTCCCGCGTCAACTTCAGGTTCTGGAAGAGCCTGGGATCAAGATCAAAAGCGCGGCTTAGGGTTTATAGAGTTTAGGTATTAGGGTTCAGGGTTCAGGGTTTAGGGCTTCGGGTCTGAGGTTGAGGTTGAGTTGAGGGTTCAGGGTTCAGGGTTCTGAGAACGGGACGATCCAAAGCCAAAAAGAAAGCGTTGGCACGCCAAAAACAAGCTAAACTCACTGGACAAACTGTGCCTGTGAGCTACATCCAAAAGTCCAAAATCTACGACCATAGCGAGACTCGCTAGATGCTGACCGGGCGTCTGAAACGCTGACCCCTCCTCTGACCCCCGCAATGCGTCCCGAGCAAGACCTGAAGCAGTGTGCATATAGGGGTTTTGGAACTCCCTGAACCCAAAACCTAAACCCTAAACCCGAAACCCTAAACCCTAAACCCTAAACCCTAAACCCTAAACCCCTAAACCCCTAAACCCCTAAACCCCTAAACCCCTAAACCCCTAAACCCCAAGGTTTGAGGGGTGTTGGGGGCCGGGGTTTGACTGAGGGCTGAGCTGCTGCGCGCCTCGCGCAGCACGGACCTCGAGCTGCTCGGGCAGCAATGCATTCTTTAGGGTTTAGGGTTTAGGGTTTGGGGTTTAGGGTTTGGGGTTTAGGGTTTAGGGTTTTGGGTTTTGGGTTTAGGGTTTGGGGTTTAGGGTTTAGGGTTTAGGGTTTTCGGGTTCTCGAGTTTTCGGGTTTTCGGGTTTTCGGGTTTAGGGAGCAGGGCGTAGTCCTCCCTCGTAGTCAACCTAATCTCAATAACCCATTTGATTTTTTGTTGAGGAAATGTTTTAAAGCATAAGCATTTTGATGCTAATAAACAATGTAGTCTTGCACGATAGATCTACTAGAGCCTACTAGGACGTCCGAGAACTGCAATAAAGATACAAAATATGGGCTAACCGCCTCCGTGCTGGGGTGGCTGGCCCGCCGGGCTCGCGATGTCAGAGCACCAACAGTGGACAAAGCTGTAGGGGTTTCAGGGTTTAGGGGTTAGGGTTTAGGTTTTAGGGTTTAGGGTTTAATTAGGGGTTTCAGGGCTTAGGGTCTAGGAACCCTCAAGCATCCAATCGAAGGCCCAATAAACGCCCGAATCGACCTCGCAGTAGCCGCAGGAGCAGCTTTGTAAACTGCAGTCCCTATTTGAAGCGGCGCCCCAAATAAGGCTCTGTATTAAGATAGGAAACGAATAATCCATATAAGACACCTCTCTCTCCCAAGTACAACCCTTCGTACAAATAGAGGAAGCGCGAACGCACAACCCTAAACCCTAAGCCCTAAGCCCTAAACCCTAAATCCTGCACAACCCTAAACCCTATATCCTGCACAACCCTAGACCCAAATCTTAAACAACCATAGAACATCATAGAACAAAACCCTAAACCCTGCACGACGACAATGGTAAGCCCTAAAGTCTACACAGTCGTAACCCTAAACCCTGAACCGTAATTTCGACCCATATCTTTAAACTCTAGAACCTGAATCCTACACCACAACCCTAAACCCCTAAACAGTAAATCCTACACCTTAACCATGTGAACCCCAAACCCTACACAGCCAGAATTTAAAGCACCGTACAACATCCGACAGGGCCCCCACCCGCCACCAAAGGGAGGAGATCTCCATGCTGGCAAAGAAGTCGGACGCCCCTTAGTTAGGGTTTAGGGTTTAGGGTTTAGGGTTTAGGGTTTAGGGTTTAGGGTTTAGGGTTTAGGGTTTAGGGTTTAGGGTTTAGGGTTTAGGGTTTAGGGTTTAGGGTTTAGGGTTGAGGGTTGAGGGCTTAGGGCTTAAGACTGTCTAGGGTTTAGGGTTTAGGGTCTAGGGTCTCGGGTTTGGGGTTGAGGTTGGCTTAAGACTATTTAGGGCAGTTCAGACACCCCCTAGAAAACGAGCGCCCAGGGTTCAGGGTTCACAACCCGCACACGCCCCTCAGCAAAACTCAACAACGATCCCGCATTGGCAAGGTTGGTATGACCAGTATCCGCAGAAGGATAGGGGTTAGGGTTTAGGGTTTGGGGTTTAGGGCTTAGGGCTTAGGGTTTAGGGTTTAGGGTTCAGGGTTTAGGGTTTATGTTTAGGTTTGAGGGGTTTAGGGTTTTGGGAGTTTATGGTATAGCGTTTACATAGAGCAAGGTGAGATTCCAGCTCAGATGAACTTACAGAAAATACCTAAAATCCAATACCCTACATCCCCTTGGTAGCCCAGCAACCGTAGTTCAACAAGGGCACCCTTTTGGGGGCTGGCCAGTTTAGAATGGAACCTTGAACCAAAAACATGAGAGAAGGGAAATTCTTATCGCGGGGCTACCAAGTCCTAAACCCTGAACATGATCCTCAAGTAGGGTTTAGGGTTTAGGGTTTAGGGTTTAGGGTTTAGGGTTTAGGGTTTAGGGTTTAGGGTTTAGGGGTTAGGGTTTAGGGTTTAGGGTTTAGGGTTTAGGGTTTAGGGTTTAGGGTTTAGGGTCCCGGGTTTAGGGTCTAGGGTTTAGGGTTTAGGGTTTAGGGTTTAGGGTTTAGGGTTTAGGGTTTAGGGTTTAGGGTTTAGGGTTTAGAGATTAAGGGTCCCTTCTAAGGATCCCTCCTTATACCCCTTAATGTTCCGAACTGCACAGCACCTACCTGCACAACCCACACGACGATTCGGACCGCAAGCACCTGAAAGCCAGAATGAGAAGAGTAGTCCCTAAACCCTAAACCCTAAACCCTAAACCCTGAACCCTAAACGCTGAACCCTGAACCCTAAACCCTAAGCCCAAAGCCCTAAGCCCAAAGCCCAAAGCCCTAAACCCTAAACCCTAAACCCTAAACCCTAAACCCTAAACCCTAAACCCTAAACCCTAAACCCTATACCCTACACCCTAAACCCTAAACCCTAAACCCTAAACCCTAAACCCTAAACCCTAAACCCTAAACCCTAAACCCTAAACCCTAAACCCTACCTAGGGATCCAAACACCCTGAGAGCTCGGCTCTGAGGCGCGCTGGCGAGCTCAGTGTGGCCGCGCTCGGACCTGGCAGAAAGGGGTTTAGGGTTTAGGGTTTAGGGCTTAGGGTTTAGGGTTTAGGGTTTAGGGTTTAGGGTTTAGGGGGTAGGGTTTAGGGTTTAGGGTTTAGGGTTTACGGTTCAGGGCTTAGGTTTTAGGGTTTAGTGCTAGGGCTTGGGGCGTTGGGCTTAGGGCTTAGGGCTGTGGGTTTAAGGTTCAGGGTTTAGTGCTTCGGGTTAGGGTTAGGGCCTAGGGTTTAGGGCTCATTTTCTGTTTGAGTGTTTAGGGTTTGGGGTTTGGGGTGGCGCCCTACACCCCACCCTAAATCCTAACCCCTAACCCCTAAACCCTAAACCCTAAACCCAAACCCCAAGACCCTAACCCTAACCCTAGACCCTCAACCCTTTAAAAAATGCCAGGGACCGGACTGCCGTAGGTCCCGGGAGACCCGGTCTAAGGCCGCCTGCGGGAGGCTACGACTCTAGAAATTCAGGATTTAGGGTTGAGGAGGGTTTAGGATTAGGATTCTAGGGCTGAGGAGTTTAGGGTGAGGAGTTTAGGGTTGAGGAGTTTGGGCTTGAGGAGTTTGGGGTGGAGGAGCTTAGGGTTGAGGAGTTTGGGGTTGAGGAGTTTTGGGTTGAGGAGTTTGGGGTTGAGGAGTTTGGGGTTGAGCAGCTTAGGGTTGCGGAGTTTAGGGTTGAGGAGCTTACGATTTAAGAACTTAGGATTTAGGAGCTCAGGGTTTAGAAGTGTAGGATTTAGGATTTTTGAGTTTCAAAGTTCCGAGGGTGTAGGCAGTGCAAGGGCTTTGGGTTTGGCTTAGGGGTGCTAGGGGCCCTAGGCCTTCTTCGCAGCTTTGGTTTTGAGGGTTTAGGGTTTAAGGTTAGGGTTTAAGGTTAGGGTTTAAGGTTTAGGGTTTAAGGTTTAGGGTTTAGGGTTTAAGGTTTAGGGTTTAAGGTTTAGGGTTTAAGGTTTTGGTTTACGGGTAGGACCTCAAGGCTTAAGTTGACTTGACAACAGCCCCCTGCTTTTGGGCCCTAAATCCTAAACCCTAAACCCTACACCCTAAACCCTAAACCCTAAGCCCTAAGCCCTCAGCCCAAAATTAAACAATGAACCCTGGTCAGCCGACAAGCATTCTGACTTCTGAACGGCTGAACCCCGCTAGGCAAACACAACTATCTTAGGGTAGTTAATTCATGGTCCCTTAATCTGGGCCCTTAAAGGGGGGGGGGGGTGGGCCCTTATGTACCCCGTATGTACCCCGTATGTACCCCTTATGTACCCCTTATGTACCCCTTACGTACCCCTTACGTACCCCTTACGTACCAAACCCAGCACGAGTCTCCCGTCGTCGATGCCTATTGATTGTCGATGGTCGTTGGGAA